TGACGACGTCCCTTTATAGGCACGAAGATTGGCATACATTCTCCAAAGCCGGAAGTTCGTCCCATCAAATGTTCCATTTTCTATCCAAGACGTGAAAAAATAAGATTTTGAGCGATTACAGTCAAAAAATTTTCTGGCGGGAGAAAAACATTCGAAATCTGAACTCCGAGTGGTTTTCCTCGTACAAGAATGAAGAAAAGTTATGGTTGTGAATGAAGGAGTTATGAATAAAATTAATTGAAGAATTTAAATACCGTATCTGTTTGCGTGAAAAAGGGAAAAATTTCGCAGACTCGACCAACGCACCATAAATACGACTGCCCAGAATTTTAATTATCATATTGTACAATTTTATTGATGCAGAATAACTGAGTGTGTTAGTTTTCTTCCTACTCAACTGACCAGGAAATTGTGCGCGTTTTTTCTTTATTGAATAAATATTCGGGGATTCATTTTTAACGAGTTGTCAGATGTCCCTAATCACGAAAATTGGCATAAAGTCTTACAGAAACGAAAGTTCATTTCGGCAATATTTCTGTTTTCTATCCAGGATGTGCTGAAAAAATTCGTGAATTTTTGAAGTTAATGTTTTACTCTGGGAAAAATTTATGGAGAGTGAAAGCATCAGAAACCCAAACTCAGTTTAGTTTTCCTCGCATAAAAAAGAAGAAAAATCATGGTTCTGAATTAGCGAGGTGTGACAGAAAATAATTGAAACAGCATATAATTATCTGTTTGAAATNCCAGAGTGAATTCCGTGGATGCCGGGGACTGGTGTCCTCTGGTGCATGCTGCCAGTGCGGGTTTCCTCAACGTCATCAGCTTCCTGGTGTCGTGCGACTGGGTCGTCAGGTCAGACGCTGACCTGGGCCTGGAAGAGGCGGCGCAACAGGCGCTCTCTGCGGCTGCCCTGCGTGGCCATGACCCGGTATAAATTAGAAATATTCACCAATAACGTATTTCTCAAATTTTGGAAAAGAAGGAATTATCATGTGTTTTTCTCTTCACTTTTATTCTTGTAGCTTTTTTAATTGGTCTTTTAAAATCGAGGGGGGGGGGGGGTGCTTATATTCCGCGTTAATACGGTATTTTGAGAAATCGAAATCAACTCTAAAAAATTATTTTTAAAATTCCTCGTAAAACCGCCAGAACTGGTTGATGAACATTTTTCGCCAAGTGAAGATTGGGTAGGAGTCGAAAAAATGTGTTACTAGATGTCACTGTTTGCTCTGTTAAAGTTCTGTTCATCAACGTGAAATACTGGATTTTCAAGTGTACCTTTCTCATGCCCTAGTTTCTAATTTTGCAGGTCGTCGACTTCCTTTTGGACATGGGCGAAGTTACAGTGAATCGTGTGGACACGTTATTCGGGGAGACTGCATTGACAGCAGCGGCATCTAGGGGACTCGCGGGACTCTGTAGTAAGCTGATGCGCAGAGGAGCCCGTGTAGATGTCGGGGACTTGAGAGACTCGCCGGCGCTGGTCAGAGCCATCAAAGAAGGCCATTGGGAAGCCGCAGATGTCGTGTTGTCACATGGTGCAAGTGTGGATCAGAGCGACGGGCAACGGAGAACTGCCCTCATGATGGCTGCCAGTGAAGGCCATGTTGCTCTTATAGAGCTGCTTCTTGGAAAAAGTGAGAAGAGTGTCCATTATATGTTTTTTCATCGTTGATGAAAATCGTTATACGATATCAAGCAGTGAATTAGTCAACGAAGAGGCAAATGCGCGGTTTATTTCCCCGCACGTGTAGACTAACGAAATTTAGCTTCCTGAGAACTCGAAGCATCTTCAGGTTCTTTCCGTGCGAAAAAGAAAATATATATTTTTGTCAATGCCTCAGCAATTTGTTCCTATTTCGGAAAGTCCGCATGTTGAATCAAGTTTTCCTTCAGAATTCATTGAGATAATATATTCAATGGGTTTTCATGCTGATCAAGAATGGGGAAAAAGTCCCCCAAAAATTGAAGAAGATAATTTTTCATATCTAACAGAAAATAATTGTGCAGGAGAAAACCGCACATAATCTGATCTGTTGGGATGAAAAAGGGGCCGATAAAACAAAGAACAAGAAGAAGTCTTCTTCTGCTGTGCTCTGTTGATGGGAATAACTCCGAAATAAACGAAGCAAAAATTAGCCTGTTTCGGATTTTTAATTATAATAAATCTTCAATTCAATTTATTTTCAATTTTTGGGAATATGAAAAGTTTAAGATACGTCAAAATAAAATAAATATCATTTTTCTAGGGTTTCTGTATTTAGAAACATTTTCCATATGTCGAGGAAGATCTTTTAAGCTGTCGAGTGTTCCTCATTCGAATTGCCCGTACTGTACTTAAAAAATCGTCAAAATAAAATAAATATCATTTTTCTAGGGTGTCTGTATTTAGAAACATTTTCCATATGTCGAGGAAGATCTTTTAAGCTGTCGAGTGTTCCTCATTCGAATTGCCCGTACTGTACTTAAAAAACATATTATTGTGATTGAAATCCTCATGATTTCCTCATGACCTTTTTTTTTTCAGAAGCGAATGTGAATGCCGAAGACAGGGACAGGATGACCGCCTTGGGCTGGGCATGTATGCGAGGTCATCTCGTTTGCGTGCAAGTGTTGTTGGACGGGGGTTGCAACATCAACCACTCTGACAAATACGGACGCACTCCTTTGGACCTCGCTGCTGAAAAAGGGCATTTTAGGGTTGTTCAGGTGAGGGTTTCAGTTGTTTACTTATGTAGTGTGGGAGAAATCGTAATCTCTTACATGTGCCATTCAGCGCAGAATTTTAAGATTTGAAAATTGAAATAAAAAAAATTCGGTACGGGAGACGGTTAGAATTGTTTTATTTTTCCAGTTTCGTACGTTATTGGATATACATTATTTTAATTTTTCGAGGTAGTCCGGCAGAATTAAAAATCTCCTCGAAAATATTCAGTGTAGAATTCGAGGATTTAAAAATGAAAATAAAATTTACGAGGGATGGTTAAAATGTTTTTTTTTATTCCAAGTTCTGTACGTTGTAATTTAATCTTTCGAGTTTTTCCAGTATGCCAAAAAATGAAATAGATGCGAGAAATACAGTACCGATACCATTTCTGCAATAATGATTCAGTTTAAATTGAAAAAAAATACTTTTAAAAGTATCACTTCTGTTTTTCGTTTCCTCAATGTTGACGACAACACGGACATTCAATAATGCAATGTGAAATGTATCTCTGTATTCTTCAGTTATTGGTTGACAAAGGGGCAGAAGTGGAACACTTGGACATGAACGGAATGAGACCCTTGGACAGAGCGATTCAAGCTGATCAGTTGGAAGTTGTGAACGTGTTTTTACGCAAAGGTGCCAAACTGGGATCTGCAACGTGGACTTTGGCCCAAGGCAAATACTGTATTGTGTGAGTATTCTTAAAATCCCGTAATTTTTTTTTAATAATATTCCACGAAATGTCTGCTGTATCGGATTTTTAAAGCGAAAATACAACAGAGAACATGGACCAAATCATTCCGAAGGATCATCTGGATCAATTCAAATCTTTGAAGCCTTCGAGTGGGAAAAAAATAGATTACAGTATAAAAATTCAACAAAATTACGAACACCCGAGGATGTAAAGGAGATAATTTCAAATGTTCAAGCATAAAAAAGTCGGCGTTCAAGGAAAGCTAAAATTATGCGATTGAGATAGTTAAAATATGTTCGGGAAAATAGGGAAAAAAATCAAATGCTCAACGAAATGATTAGGAATGATATATTTTGTTTTGCTGATATTTCCAAGACCGGGAGGTTCAATAAGTGGTTTTATTAATTTATTTTTCTCCAAAAAGGTTGACATTGCTGAAGAAGCTGCTCGAAGATGGACAGACATTATTGAAGAAGGGTCAATTGCAAGACGCAGCTTTTCGCTTTGGCTACGCGTCTAAAAAGTTGCCAATTTACCAACCAGTACCGGAAGGAATGTCTCAGCTGAATGTGCGATGTTTCGCTAGTCTCGACCTCAGCCTGGTTCTCGGGCTGTCGCGTTGCAAACGCAAAATTGGAGTGAGTAAAATAATCATGAGTCGAGTTCGGCGTCGTT